CTAACAGTATAGGGTGAGTGTGTACTTCTGATTTCCACAAATGAAGGCAGTGGGGGATGTCAGGCCCCTAGACAGCATCTCCAGCCAGGTCATGTATAGGGCCCCAGGGCAGGCTGACTGAGGGATCACAGGTAGGCTCCTGTTATGTATGAAATGGAACCTGTTCCTCAGCTTCTCTAGCCATTGGACTAGTCCTACCCCTGAGCTCTATGCCCCTGCAGTTTGAAATCTTCCCAGATTCATGACTGTGAGGGCAGCCATAGGACTTCATGAAGGCATGAATATTTCCATACGACTTTATGAAGGCACATGTGCCACTCTGACTGCATGGTTAGGAAAAGTGAGCAGGGATGAGGTGAGCGCCATTGTCAGTTTGTACTCTGGGACAACTGCCCCCACTTTAACGGCCCTGTTCCTGTATATCTACCTGCTTTTGGTTTGTCTTCAGGTCCTGCTCAGGGATGTAGCTTGAGGGAGCAGGAGTGTTGAGAGAGGTAGATGCCAAGTTCTCCTTTGGTGGTGGCTTCTGCACCTGCTGTAAGACCACCGAGTCTTCAAAAGCCTTTTGGCTACAGAGAAAGGAAACCCCAGATACAGAAGGGAACAGAAAGTATGTCATCCTCTGAAATTTCTGTCCTTGGGGATTTAGGGATCATAGGGCTTCTTCACTCTTTAGTTTTTCTGTTTTGCTGTCCAGCTGGCATTTCTTTCAAACTGGTAACCATAAACCTGTTCAGATGTAGGTAGACATTAGCCACTGTCTCCCCACAGCCAGTACCCCCTGCCACAGAAACTCCTCTTCCATCAGATTTCGGCTCCTCCTACGTGAATCCACTTAAGTCATTACTGTTTTTTGAGCATCTACTCTATGCCGGGCAGTGGGCTAGATAAGATTTATCTCTCTAATCTTCCCCTCTGGTTCACTCACCTGGTACTAATCAGAGAGCCCATAGAGGCAAGACCCTGGCTCTCAACATCTGCCAAAGTACCAGCCATACTGGCACTCTGACCCTAGGCAGCTCCCACTCTGCACACCCATGTCGGTCCTATTTCCTAAAACATCTCAAATCATACAGGAGCCTGGAAATGAGATTTAGGACACACACTCCTTCATGGGAAGAGAACCCCAACCCAAAGCAGTAGGACTGTCTAGGTACCACCAGTGCCAAAGCGGGTAATGGCAGTGTGTTTGCATGGGGTTGGGGGGGACGACCAAATTTGATAATCAAAGAGCATCATACAATTCATTAATGAAACAAGGGATGGAGAGAACCGGTGAAGGAGGGGATGGGGGCCTACCTGCATATAAACTACTTTTAAGATAATTGATGGATGCCTCTGGCTCATTTCATCACCTAGCCCCTCAGAGAAGCGGAAACCAGGGTTCCAGGTCATTCTGCACTGAAGGCAGGAGTGGAGGGCCTTACCAATTGTGGCAGAGATGCCCAGGTAGGAAAGTATGGTCCACGTGATGGCAAGGATGGTTCCTTTGGGGACAGCTGTAGCAGGGTCCTGGGGACAAAAGTTGAAGCATCAGTGGAGAGAGAAGAGGGGTGATAGAGAGTGTGCTCCATGCCTGGACATCCTTGTCACCTTGAGGTCCCTAGGGATACTGGTCCTGGTGAGTACCCCAGTGGCTGAGGAGAAGACGACGGAAAACATACCAAGGAAACTGCCCATGCCCACCGCTGCGGGACAATATTATGAAAGAAAACGCTTTCCATATAAAGGAACAGAGAGAAAAGATGAGGTTTTGAGGAGCACCTCCTGGCTTCCTTTGTTCAGCCCAAATTATTACCCCTCTACCCAGTTTAGTGTCAGTGACTTAGGTTAGGCTGGGAAGCATAAGGGATTTTTGGCCCAGGGACTTAACAGGACTCTGAGTGGTCTGATGGCCAACTTGTAAATGACATACAGAATCAGAAGTTGAGGGTTCTTTTCTGGGGAGGACACATTTCTCAGTCAGTTTCCCACTGTCTCACCTTGGTACCCAAAGAAGCCAGTGGCTTGTTGGCTGGGGTTTGTGGGGAGGAAGTCCCGAGCAGGTAGTTGGTAAGAGAAAGGAAGACCAGGAAGAAGAAGATAATCTGGGCCTGTAACACCATGGGTGACACCACCCCCCTCCACAGAGAGGGAGAAAGCGGGAGGGAAGAAGGGACAGAGACAGACAGGTGAGTGGCAGGTAAGTAGTCCTCCTCCTCCTCCTCCTCACTTTCCTTGTCTCATCTTCACTCTTCTCTCCAATCCTCTCGTGCTCTTTCCTACCAACCTCCTCCCATAAAGGAATGTGGCTAAATGGGTGTCCTTTTCCTTCTTGCCTCAAACTACAAAGCATCCCTTCCCATGCCAGAGGGGTGAATATCAACGTTGTAAATACTGGGAGCAAGAAGCAGGGCATTTCTCATCTGGTAGTCGTGTCTAGTGCTCATCCCAGCAGATCCTCAGGAGTCCTCCTTACTTTCCCCTTCAAAAACTGGCATGTGGAGTCTCTCCCAGCAGAACCGGCTAGTTTCAGGTCTGGGTCCCTGGAAGTCTGCTCTGTCAACTACTCGCGCACACAATCCCACATCTCCCCACATTCTGCCCCTTCCTGATCTGTCCAGCTCTCACTGCCATCCCCTTAGTCTTTTCACCCCCAACTCAATTCCCCCTCGCCTGCCTTGGACTCCCACTCCACGCCTGCCAGTGCCAACGCCTACAAGGATAGTCACGGTCACCAGGCCCACCACCCGAAACTCATTTTCAGGATCCATGTTTGGTAGCTGCACCCCATGCTCCTAGAAGGGCAGAACACAGAGGTAAGGGGTCACAGAGATTTTTTTTTTTGTGGTACACGGGCCTCTCACTGTTGTGGCCTCTCCCGTTGTGGATCACAGGCTCCAGACGCACAGGCTCAGCAGACATGGCTCATGGGCCCCGCCGCTCCACGGCATTGGGGATCTTCCCGGACCGGGGCATGAACCTGTGTCCCCTGCATTGGCAGGCAGACTCTCAACCACTGTGCCACCAGGGAAGCCCAGTCACAGAGATTTTTAATTGGTCCATCTGATTCTTAAAATGACCTGCCCAGGCTGGAGCCATGAAAATGCAAGCTGGGTGGTCAGCTGACTTGAGAAAAGGATGCATGAAGGAAGGGAATGGGCATTACCTTAGAACAGGTCCAAAAGGGTCTCTGTGAAGCCCACTGTATGCACAGCCACAGCTACTGCATAGGAGAAAGCAAATAATATTCCAGTGGAACTGCCAAGCTCCAGACCCAGGCTGTGCAAGACAAGGAAGTAGGTACCACCTGAGAGAAGAGGAAAGAAGAGTCAATCAGTCTCACCAACTCCCAACAGGACCGGGGGCCCTAAGAGGTCATGGAGTCACAACAGACTCACCAGCCTTGACTTTGCCATTGATGGAGATGGCTGAGATAGACAGGCTGGTGATAGTAGTGACTGAAGCCGACAGCAAGGTAACAAGCGATCTGAGCCCTGGAGTGGGATGGGAATGGGGCTCCTTTAATTCACTGAGGCCGAGTCCCAAATCCCTTCCTACTGTCTAGTAGAGTGCTGAGCCCACACCGATGCCAGCCTGAGCAGTGATCCAAGGCAGCTGCAGGTAGAGGAGGATGCCCCTGATCATCAGGGAGGGAGGAGTCAAGGTCACCCTCATCCCTTTCCTCTCACCCTCAGAGGGACCCTTGAGACTGTCCTCTGGAGCGAAGTTCTCTTTCC